TGACTTCTGCCTACAGTGAGCTCCAGTTCATATTTTACTCTGAACCTTCTCATCTTGGGTGTCTTCCATTCACCTCCAGTTCCATCAGATCCTGAGAGACAGTCACCAGCAACTGGAACTGTAGGTAAGGTTGAACACAGCATGATGACAATCTTGCCTGCTCCATTTCACACATTTAATTGCACAAATATGAAAGCCCAGGACTTCCTTATTACATTTGTCCCATTTTTCTTACATTTACATTTTGTTATGTATTAAATATCTTGGTGTATACCTTTTACTGTGATTGCTACAGGTCTTAAACAAATGAAGGAATGCATCATTACATCTATGCAGGGAGTGGCAGAACACACAAGATGAAGTTCACAGGATACATTGATAAAGAAGAAACAGGAGGAACCAAACGAAAGTGCAAATTTCTCACAAGAACTTTCTACAAAGGGACATCAGAGACAAGATGCTGAGAACATATAAACAAGTAATGGCTCCACTGGAAGGACTGATTAGTCTGGGAATTAGATCTGAAAACCAGACAGCACTGGCTCAGTTGTTCAGGACAGACAATTGTTGGCTCAACTGCTCAAGAAGCCACACGCCCTTCACTGCATAGGTTTTTCACTTAAGATCTCACAGTCATAGGGGACTTAGATTTTAATATTAAAATTACACACAGAGGAAATTCCTCTATGCTAATACAAATGTATCTATCTTCTTTAAAGTTAGATTGTTTTGTGTATCATATTAACCTATCAAATCTGAAACCTGTGTACTGCACTGACCTTTGTATGTTCAACGGTCCTCAGGTTTAGACACATCATGGACAGTTAAAGTAACAAGAATGTAAGTCTAAATATATAGGAATGAGATGAAAACTACCCTTTCCAATGTACATGGAATGGAATGGAATGGAATGGAATGGAATGGAATGGAATGGAATGGAATGGAATGGAATGGAATGGAATAGAATAGAATAGAATAGAATAGAATAGAATAGAATAGAATAGAATAGAATAGAATAGAATAGAATAGAATAGAATAGAATAGAATAGAATAGAATAGAATAGAATAGAATAGAATAGAATAGAATAGAATAGAATAGAATAGAATAGAATAGAATAGAATAGAATAGAATAGAATAGAATAGAATAGAATAGAATAGAATAGAATAGAATAGAATAGAATAGAATAGAATAGAATAGAATAGAATAGAATAGAATAGAATAGAATAGAATAGAATAGAATAGAATAGAATAGAATAGAATAGAATAGAATAGAATAGAATAGAATAGAATAGAATAGAATAGAATAGAATAGAATAGAATAGAATAGAATAGAATAGAATAGAATAGAATAGAATAGAATAGAATAGAATAGAATAGAATAGAATAGAATAGAATAGAATAGAATAGAATAGAATAGAATAGAATAGAATAGAATAGAATAGAATAGAATAGAATAGAATGGAATGGAATGGAATGGAATGGAATGGAATGGAATGGAATGGAATGGAATGGAATGGAATAGAATAGAATAGAATAGAATAGAATAGAATAGAATAGAATAGAATAGAATAGAATAGAATGCTAAAAATATCATCTAGTCCAACTGCCTGACCACTTCAGGGCTGACCAAAAGTTAAAGCAATTATTAAAGGCATTGTCCAAATGCCTCTTAAACACTGACAGGATTGGGGCACTGACCACCTCTCTAGGAAACCTGTTCCAGTGTTTGGCCACTCTCTTGGTGGTGAAACACTGAATATTGTTCTTTTGCATGAAATGTGATTCATTTGTGGCTTTCTGTGGCTCCACCCAGTGTCTGCTGTTAAAAGATAAGCATATGTAATTTCCAGCAACATTCAATGATCATCACCTCTTCAAAGAGCCACTATTTCTGAGTTAAGGCACTCAAAAAGCTTTTAATTTTTTTTTTTTATTATAGGGCCATCAGGAAATATTGTTCAAGATTATAAACTTTGCTAGGGAATATGTTAAATGATTCAGAGGAAAATTTAAAAAGACAAGCTAGTTTCAAAGTGTTTACAGTTCAATTTTCCATGTGGCAAAGCAAGTTTGCCAAACGAGAAGGAGGTTTACAGAGAAATACATGAAGTAAAAGCCAGTGGGACACCTGAACACTGTGAAGGTAGGATAAGTATTTCACAGATGAAGAAACACAGGTCTATTTCTCTTAAAAAAAAAAAAAAAAAAAAAAGGAAGCAAGCCACTGGGTGAATTGTTCTTGAGCACTTTGCCTCGTACCCCAATTTCATTCACGTTTCATTACACACAGAAACAGTCACATGAAAGTGAGATACAACAGAAACAGAACTGATGAAGAGGTGGACAATAAACATTTGCAAATTGTGGAGACAGACCTAAATATTTGAATGTTCAGCAAGAAGTACGAAGAGTAGATAAGGCAGCCATTATTTGTATGGATTTGGAAAGAATTCTGCCTGTGGCCAAGGTACTCTCATAATTTCTTGTTAGAGGAGCTCTGCACTTTGCAGTAACCTTTTAGTAAGTTTCAGTGGCTCACTTAAGGATTGGCATCATTCAGGCCAGCACCCTCCCAGTGCCAAGGAAAAGAAAACAAAGAGGACTGATGCTAGTAAAATGTTGCTGCTCCCTACCAGCTCCTGTTCAGGTCCATGCAGCAGAAGGCTCTCTTATACTGCAGTCCTGACCTGTGTAAGTCAAGCTGGCAAAGCACATTCCTATGTGCTTTATTATCCCAGCTTTGACTGTTGTTGTTCTCCCTCCTCACAGAGGCTTCTCTGAGAGGGCAGCAGGCATGTGCATCAGAGATACTTCTGTCCCTGTTTTCCAGACCTAACAAAAGGCATGAAGAAAGAAGTGGAACCTGTGGGTCATTAACACCACGTTCTCCATTCTTACATCCCTGATATTTCACAGAATCACAGAAGAGGTTCTCTGGCTTTGCTGTAGAACTGATCTGCTGCCAGCTTCTCGTGATCTCCTACACATTTCATTGTCATGATATTCAAGCGTCTGGGCAACCTCCTCCATGGAAAGTCTTTCCTTAGATTTCTGAGATCAGTGGGGAATGACTGAGACACAGATAACCATTTTAGCAGTGGGACTGGCAAGTAAAGAATTGATTTTTAAGATTTAAAGAGGTGAAATAAAAAAGTTGAAGAGTATAGTAAGGGGGAAAAGAATAAAACAATACTCAGCTTCATAAGTAGGAAGGACTGTTGAGTTTGGGGAGTGCTGAATGTAGTAATGTGCAAAAAGGGAGTGGTAAGAAGAGCTCAGAACCTGTCCTTAAAAAGGTGTGCATGACATACAGCCAAATGTCAAAGAGGTGATGCTTGGGAGACTGCTAGAATTACAACATGTAGTAAATATGGATTGGCTAAGGATCTCCAAACTGTTTCACTGGAAGTAGATAGGATTCTCCTAGAGGAGGGACGGTGGTCTGTTTCTGGTACTGAAAGAGCTGAGGAAAGCATGACACCACCACAGAAAGGCTACAGGGAACTCAAGGCAAGTCAGGAATTGTGGATAATTTAAGTCTTAAACATTACAGATGTGGAAAAAGATATACCAGTCCTGGCAACATATAGAAGCAGGTCTGGTTGAAGTATCATAAAATCATAGAATGGTTTGGGTTGGAAGGGACCATAAAGATCATCTCCTTCTAACCCCTCCCTGCCATGGGCAGGGACACCTTCCACTAGACCAGGTTGCTCCAATTCCCATCCAACCTGGCCTTGAACACTTCCAGGGAGGGGGCAGCCACAGCTTCTCTGGGCAACCTATTCCAGTGCCTCAGCACCCTCACAGTAAAAAACGTCTTCCTTATATCTAATCTAAATCTACCCTCTTATCAGTTTAAAACCATTACTCCTCATCATGTCACTACACTCTCTGATAAAGAGTCCCTCCCCATCTTTCCTGTAGGTCCCCTTTAGGTACTGGAAGTTGCTATCAGGTCTCTCCAGAGCCTTCTCTTCTCCAGGCTGAACAACCCAAACTCTCTCAGCCTCTCCGCGTAAGGGAGGTGCTCCAGCCCCCTCATTATCTTCGTGGCCTCCTCTGGACCCGCTCAAGCAGGTCCCTGTCTTTCTTGTGCTGGGGACTCCAGAGCTGGACACAGTACTCCAGGTGGGGCCTCATAGGAACAGAGGGGGAGAATCACGTCCTTCGACCTGCTGGCCACACTTCACTTGATGCAGCCCAGGATATGGTTGGCTGTGAGTGCACATGGCTGGTTCATGTTTGTAATATGGCCTGTAACATTGAATCCCGGGCACTGTAAAACTGAGGGTGGAAACCTGCTTACATCTAAGCATCCAGGTGATTTTCTCACTCATAGAAATGGCATAATCGGGGCACACCTAAGCTTTAGGCTCAGAAAAAACATTTCAGGACCCAAGTTACAGCATCAGATGCCTACAGCTTTACCAGGTGTCATTGCTCAGCTGCCATTGACGGACGCCAGTTTATCCGCACCCAGGTACGTGGCGGCCCTTCGCGCCTAGACCGAACCGCCGGCGCCAAAACGCCCCACGCCCTCCGGCGCAGCCAGCAGGTGCCATTTTGTGGCACCAGAGGCCCGAACACCTCACGCAGCCTTCGCAGAGGCGCCCCCGGCGCTGCCGAGCC